ACTTACATTTAAAAAATTCTATGCAAATTTTCAGATTTTAGTTCAAGGATTGGTACCATTGTGTTCTTGGCAATATGAAAGAGTATTCAATACTACACGAATTCCAGGAATTGAAGTTGACAAAATTGTGCATTATCAGGATTCTAAACATATTGTAGTGTATCATAAGGGCAGATATTTCAAAGTTTTAATTTATTACCGAAATAGGATTCTTCAACCCTGCGAGATAGAACTGTAAGTTTGTTTTTATCGGTATGTATTTTTACATTGATACTCGTGTATTATAATATCGCCTTACAGTCAGGTTCAACAAATTTTGGACGACAATTCAACACCTTCGGAAGGAGAGGAGAAATTAGCTGCTTTAACAGCTGGCGAAAGAACCATTTGGGCGCAAACCAGAAGAGATTTCTTCGCGAAAGGTGTAAATAAGGCTTCTTTGGATATTATTGAAAAGGCGGCATTTGTAGTAGCATTGGACGATGTACCTTATGAATACAATCCAGTACGTTATTTATAATAAAATAAAAACATTTTGAACAATATAAATATTAATCATATTTGCAAATTAATGTAATTCTTATTCATTTTATGCATTAGGAACATCCAGAAAAATTAGATCATTACGGTACGAACCTATTATACGGAAAAGGATATGATCGATGGTTCGATAAATCTTTTACACTATGCATTGGAAATAATGGCAGAGTAAGTAATATATATTATTGTATCTATTGTATCTACATTTATATTAGAATTGATTATCATTAGCTTCAGTGTTTCATAAAAATAATTTCTGTTCTCACAGATTGGCTTCAACGCAGAACATTCTTGGTGAGTATATACTTTATGAAAAAATATTTACTTAAAAAAATTGTGCACCTATTTTCAATAGAGACAAACATAAGGCTCGAATTTGTTATGCACAATATACTATGAACAATTAGATCTATATTTTTATTAATATAAAATAAGACACTTCATACAAAATTTATGCGTATATATTGAAACAATGCATATAATGATAAGTAATGAGCAGGGCAGATGCTGCAGTCATGTCACACTTGTGGGAGTACATATTATGTTCCGAGTTCCTGAACCGACAGTAAGAATTACAATATATAGCTTGTAGAATATTATTTATTTTGCATACATCTCTTCTTCTGCTTATGTAAGATTACTGTTGTACATTACTATCTATTTCTTATATGTTAAGAACGTTTATGGAAATAGTTTGGGTTGTATCTATATGTTTTTTTAATTTAAGATACTTCTTTTAACAAATTTTTAGTGTCTTGGAGCGCTCTTCACAGTAGTCATCTTTAAAGTTCTGTGGAGTTCATGCTATGCTTATGTTTCAGTTTCTTAAATATTACATTTCCTGGAAGTTATCTGTTTCTACCGGATATTTATATTACTGATGATGAATGCTTTTCATGTTTCTCTTTCGCATCTTGTCTTTAATGTTTCTTTCTCATATGCTTATTAGGGCTGATGCACCAGTGCTCGGAACTCTATGGGAATTTATTATAACTGCTGATGTTGAAATCGGGTAATCGGGTTATTTATTGTTGTGTATTGTTACATAGTGTAATGTAATAGGGCAAATTACTAACCATTCCTCTATATCATTTCTAATAATTGTACTTTTATTATAATTATCATTATACGATGATTAACTTTCTATGCTTATAAGCGTTTCTACATGTAAATTTTTGCCTGTAATGCTTTTTAATCTGTCAAAATATCATCTGCTTGATCGTTATTGCATTATAAATGTATGATTAAGAATGTTTATTTTAAATAAAAATTATAGCTTAATTAAAATAAATGAATGAAAGTTGTTGTAGTTTAAATTAGTTACATACAATAAAATGTATTTATAGATTTGCATGCTATTATAAAAAGGTTATCTGGAAAGTAAGGGCCACTTGACCCAATTTATCTTTTATCCACTTTAAATTATGTAAAATGAAATTTAATACAATAATCGTGGAAATTCAGTTTTTATTTTTCAAATAATGCATGATAATATGGTTTTTTCACAAATTTGATTTTTTCAAAAAAATAAAATATAGTTTAGAATTTTCTATCATTTGAGAAATATATATTATTTTCAGATATAAAGACGGACACAATGTAGGCAATCCGGAATTTACACCTCCAGCTCCGACTCGATTGCAATGGGATTTAAATACCAAATGTATTGAAGCAATTGAACAATCTTATCAGGTAATAATAAGTATAATCTCATGTTCTACCTAAATATAGTACATATGTATGTACTACATTTAACAAATATCACGATTATATAACAATTGATTTTTAATTCAAAAGGTAGCGCACAGTATATTAAATGATGTTGAATTACGTGTTTATGTGCACGATGCTTATGGTAAAGGTTTGATGAAAGCTCATTCCATATCACCAGACGCCTATATACAAATGGCATTGCAATTGGCTTACTACCGTGATGCTGGCAAATTTAATTTAACTTATGAAGCTTCCATGACAAGGTTATTTCGAGAAGGTAGAACAGAAACGGTCAGGCCGTGTACTATTGAATCTTCTAAATGGGTAACAGCAATGGAGGATAAAACAATAACGGTAAAAACGAATTAATAAATAAAAAGCACATAAATTTGTTCCTCCGTGTATTTCTAATCGATCTTTCTTCCAATATAGGTAATAGAAAAAATCAAGTTGCTAATGGATGCAGCAACACGACATCAACAAAGTTATCAAGATGCTATGTGTGGTAAAGGAATAGATAGACACCTATTCTGTTTATATGTAGTATCGAAGTACTTAGAAGTAGATTCACCATTTTTGAAGGTAATTGTTTTACGCGTCGCTACTATAAATATGATATATACAATTGATTAAATATGATTTTATTAAACATGATGAATGATTCTATTGTAGGAAGTTCTAAGCGAGCCATGGAGGTTGTCGACATCGCAAACTCCACACGGTCAAACTTCGAGATTAGATTTGAAAACGTATCCTAAATGCATTTCAGCTGGTGGTGGGTTTGGTCCTGTGGCCGATGATGGCTACGGAGTTTCTTATATAATTGCGGGAGAAGATCTTATATTTTTCCATGTTTCCAGTAAACGATCTTCGTCAAAAACGGTAAAACAATTAATATTTTTAATTTCATTATTATAATTATCTCTTTACATTTATTATTTTTTAAATATTTTTATTGTTTTAATTATATATTTCATAGATCCATAGTATATAAATGTTTATATTAAAGTGTAATGTAACGTAATAATATCTTCTAATAAAATTATTTCAATATCTATAGGATGCTGCCAAATTTGCAAAGCAAATCGAAAAAGCACTTGCCGATATGAAAGATTTGCTAGAACAAAAAAAGAAAATACATCAGAACGGATCTGCGTAACTTATTGAATTACCTGTAGCGCAGTCGAGAAAAATAATTATAAACTACGCAATGAAGCGGAATCTATAGCTCCAGACAACTTTTCTTGACTTGGAAGAATTTAATAATATAATTTAGTGCTTAAAACATAATTTTTTCAAGGCAGAGTGTTTTCGTAGGTAATTATTTTTAACAGATAAAGGTTATAGGAAAAAATAACGGGCCCAAAATTCACAAGACTATGTTATAGACATTGCACATATAGAAATAAATTTTTATAGTCATTTCACATTGTCTCTCTCTCATATATCATTATATATCATAAATATAATTTTTATTATTAAATAATTATTTATAAATGACAATTTATCCATGATTTATTAATAATACTGCACAGCAGAAGTGTATGCGAAAGTACAAGTACCAAATTTCTATTGCTTGCTGTACATAATTGCAAATTTAAGAAATATTTGACATTATTATGTGAGAAGAACATAAAAATTGATAGCAAATTTCATTACTTATTAAAACTGTTGAAAATTTTCAAACATGTTATAAAATATGTTATTAAAGTTAAAAATTTTACATATCGACAACTAAATTTTGAAAAATTTACCAATTAAGTACACTATCATATCATTGTATATCTACTGCAAATGTAGAAGCAATTTAATTTCATCATGCATATGTTATCCTAATCATAATTACTATATCCTATCATAATTTAACATCGAGAAGTGATTTGTATGCAATGCAATTTATGCATATAAGAAATTTTTTTTCTCCATGAATATATACGAATGATAGAGTAGAATGATAGACAAGTATTGTCTGTATCGTAATATGGAGAGACATCTCGATCTGTATTAGAATCTCATCAATTTAATATCTGATGAGATAGAGATGTGCAACTACAAATATGTGATTACTGATTTTTTTTTTTTTTTAAGCAAACATCTAAGCGATGCCATATATAATATGTGCAACTTATCAATGCAAAATGTTTTAACTGTAAGTAATTACTAACTGTAAGCAATTTTATACTTAGAAGAGAAGCATACGATTACATTCTCCTACCGCATATATTTGTTACAGATATATTTAAAGAGTGGTGCTTTTAAATCTTGTTATTATTATTCAGTGGTGTTATAATTAAACATTATTATTGAAATATTTAAGCGCAAGAAAGATGTAAAATACAAGATAATGAGATAGAAATATCTATAACATTTTTGTACACTTAATTTCATCTTTATAAATTTAATAAAAGTTCTGATAATGATTGTAAAGATTAGGTATGAAATATTACAATAGATTTCGTCTGTTAGTTAGTACGACATCCATTATACGTAAAACTTTTATGGAAGTTATAATTAGAAATTTGCACAAGGCAGCTTGAAAGATTTAAAGTATACTTAATCAAGAACAAAATATATAAAATATTTAAATATTGGCAGGAAAGAAAATTACAGAGTATTCGAAATATTTTTGTACAATATTGATAATCGATCAGTAATTCATTTTATACCGTTTATTGGTATATTTATATATTCTTTTTTATGTCATACAAAAATATGTAATTTTTGATTATAACATGAATGTACTGTCATAGAATAAATAAAAACAACTACAGTCGTTTACTTTAGTAACAATATTTAAACATCTTTTGCACATCTCTTCCCCTCTCTCTTAACAAGAAATGAGAAATTGTTAAAAATGTATACTAGAAACATATATAAATATATACGCGAAAAACAATACTACATTAAGACTTTTTAACAGTGTCTTTACGTGGTTGAACTTTTACTTTTTCTTGCTTCAGAGATCGGTGCTTGTTTGATATTACTGCATTTCGTAATGTTGAATGGAGGAATCTTTTGTTAACGGTTTCTTTAGGTTTCACCCATCCACTGGGACCCATTATTTCGGCTCTTCGTGCACCAAGTCTGGCTTCTTCCAGTAAAGCTTCTGCTGCTAGCCTAAATAAATATATATATTTCGTAATAGCTATTGCACAACAAAAGATAAAGTCATATTTTTGTGATTCCTTATTCCCGTAATATTAAATTTTCGTATTTATAAATTGTGTTTATAAATTTCTACTTATTTATATACGACACTAATAATGTAGATCAATAATATAATTTTTATGTAGTTAAATGACCTCACTTATTAGCTATTTCAAGAGTCTGATTCTTTAGAAAAATTAAAATATAGTAGTGTTCATGTAAACTTCAAAACATTTATTGCTATCCAAATATAAAATGTATATTATTTTTATAACTTGATATATTTAAAAGTTTGTTTGTGTCCAAATTTTATCTATTAAAAGCAAGAATAAAAATCAGTCGTTCGTACATTCCAAACGGTAATTTTTCCTACATATCACATTGTAAATCATGACATAAATGTAATAATGCTTGATGAAATCACACAATTACCTATTCAACGTTTCGTCATCCATGTTCGTTCTGTCGCAAATTGTTATTGTCTCAAATTCTCTGAAAGAAACAAGCGAAATTATTACAAAATACCCGCGATTGCACGTACGTCGATTACGTTATAACAAATACGACAATATATGCCTGGTGTATTTACAGTCTTTCTAATCAAACGTCACGTAGCACCGAGTCATAATTTCTCAAAGATTGTCAATTTTGTCAGGGAGATACTTTGTCATACAGATTCGCATAAAATCGGTGATATCTGGGATAACGTTCACAACAGCTGATGATAAGATGGTCATAAGGTCATTTTTCACAGCTGATTGAATCACGGAATGCTTGGACTATGACCGATATTCGTTTTTTTTATAATTTTAAAATATCAAACCAATAGAGCTGTATTAGCATTTAAAGATATTACTTAAGGCAGTCTTAAGATAAAAAATAACTACGTTGAATATCGGCCTATGACACTCGGGATTATTAGCCGCTGACGTATGCGATTACAAACAATAAATTATCATAATAAATTATTGCTTTCTCATTATATGACGCAGGAATTGGCAGGAATCGCGAAGGAAAGTTAGTCGAGCTTGCTAAATCGTCCAACGTTAATTATCGCAATCCGTTAAATTGACACTTTGAAATGGAATACCATCAATTTGATGACGTCGTTTGTAAATTATCTCTTAATTAGATCATGGATTAGATTGTCATGAGAAATTAGGAAAAATTCATTCGGCTTGTGCAGTCAATGCGCGGTCACTTCTCTCCTTTTCTCTTTGAGACTTGAAGGTATCCTTATTTCACTTTCAAGACATGACGTGTTGAACAGATTGAACTGTACCGTCAAGGTTCGAAGATTTCGAGGTGGGCACAGACTTTGAACATATGTAGAAGGGAATTTTGCTCAGCAGAGGAACGACGCGACACGTATGGATGCCACAGACTAGGCGTGTGAATAAACAATTATCATCTGGTTATCGTATATGGTGGGTTCTCGGCGCCGGTCAAAGTGTCATTCTCCTGGTCGTTAGCCTGACAAAGAAAGATGGAAATACCAACGAAAATGATCGCGGAGCTTCGCGAGAAGTTTTTCAAAAAGTTGGACGAGGAAGGACCATCCGATTCCAGTACGTACACATTATATAGGTCCTTTTCTGTTTTTCAATGAAAAATGATTTTTATAACATTAATTGATGTGCCACAATGATGCTCATGTAACATGTGCAAAGGTCATATTCAGACGCGATCGTATATTCAATTAAAAATAATTGGCAGTCCAATTGATGTAACAAAGGCATGGATGCTTGAAAACCTTTGACCATGTTAATTATTTATATGGAACGATAAAATGCAAAAGAAAATTGTAGTTGTTTTTTCATCTAGAATCTATTCTTATTTGCGTCTGTATTTGATTAATAATCATTCGTAGGAAGTTTCCACGCTGCTGATATAGCCAGGATAAAAATCAATGACGATTGGCTGAAACGATTTTTGGAACATCATGAGCTTAATGAACAGGATGCGTTCAACATGCTTTGGGACACTTGTACTTGGAGAAGAAAATTTGGAACAAATGGTAAAACTATGCCTATGAATTTTATGTTTGACATTTTTTATTTTTATTATTCTCTACGAGACATTAATATTTTAGATTAAAATTGATAAAAGTTGTTTGACAAATCTATACATATCTTAATTTGAATATAGCATATAAGTTTAATTCTTTCGATAAGTATATAAGCTTGTAAATATCCTTAATAGTAAATAAATAAAACTTTTCAGCGCGCTGAATTATTCATTCATGAAATGAAAAGTACTCAATACTGAAAGAATTAAAGTTAATAGAATGTAAAACAAAGTGTGTCTTTCTTTCTCTTCTTTCATTTTAAATCAAATTACAGATATTACCGAAGATAATGTGAGGAGAGATTATTTAGAAGATGGCGTAATCTTTAGCTATAGTAAGGATAAGGATGGCAAAAAACTTTTTGTAATTAAGTCAAAGTTGCATGTTAAAGGAGTAAAAGATTTTGCAGAGCTTCAGAGATGTATAGTTTATTGGTTCGAAAGATTAGAAAGGTATTGGTATACTTATTAGTTTCCTTATCTTTTTTTTTATGCAAAGACATTAATATATCTGTACCTTGTGTATTCATATTCTATGGATAATGGATATAATTTTTTATTTATTGTACTTTCAGAGAAGAAAATGGAAATCAAATATCACTTTTCTTTGATATGGTAGATGCTGGACTTTCCAATATGGATATGGAGCTTATTAAATATCTCATTGGTTTATTCAAATCTTATTATCCAAATTTTCTAAACTATATCATAGTTTTGGAAATGCCCTGGGTTTTAAATGCAGCTTTTAAAATAATAAAATCATGGTTACCTGCAAAAGCTATTCCGAAAATTAAGTTTGTTAACAAAACCACATTGAAAGATTACGTCAATCCAAATGATGCACTGAAATGTTGGGGAGGTAACAATGATTATACCTTCAAATTCGTCTCAGAAGAGCAAACAAATGGAGATAGCGTATTAAATGGCAAACTGGATAATAAAAAGGTGTATATATTACATATATTTTTTTATGGCATTGCTATAATTATATGTGAAACGAATAATACCAAGATATTGCTTTTACTTGACATGTCAAATTCACTATGCTTTTATGTTATTGCACTATTCTTTTTTTTTGTTATTGTTCTTTTGTTAACTACATTGATTTGTTTTCAACATCATTTCTATACTTCAAATTAGTTATCCCGAAAAAGAAAGTATTGAACAAAATGGAATATGTAGAAGATGTATATTAAGTTACTTATAATATTGTTAAAAAACCTCTCTGTCTAATATATTATTTCTTTAATCATACTGTATATTTTCTAGGTGCACTTTGTAGACAATTCACCACTTACGGAGCAAAGTCCAACTAGTATTGGAGATCAGATCAATGAAGAACAATGTATATATAAAATTTACATACAAATTTGTTACATCACATTACAATATATAAAAAGCATTTAAATAAATTATGTTTGCTTCAGTGTTATCTATAGAGCCCACGGAAATAATTACGTTTAATAAAGATGGAAATGATGTCACTGGGACAATTATACTTAAGAATATTACAACTGACAAATCTTTATCTTATAAGGTACACATAGACATTATGTTATTTAATTATTATAACAATAACAACTGAGAAATGTAGCTTAACGTAGATGTGGTAATTTTGTAGATAAAGACAACATCACCTGAGAAATTTAGAGTACGGCCAAGTTCAGGAGTTTTGCAACCATCTGAACAAAGAACTGTTATGGTTGTATTACAATCTGGCTATAATATACGTGGCCTATTAAACAACGATCGATTTCTAGTCATGTGCTTCCCATTAAAAAATACAAACACTGCTACAACGCAGGAACTGAATTTACTCTGGAAGGTAAATTAATTTTACGTTGATTTAAATATCTGTTTTTATATTGAGATATATCAAAATATATCAATAACTTCAAATTTAAAATATTGCTAGATAAAATCGTTCACGTACTAATATTGTCTCTTTGTAGACTGAAAAGGCAACAGAAATGCATAAACTACGATGTTGCGACGGTGCTACTGAAAATAGCGAGACACAAAAATCTCATTCTATGCTAACTTCTGCAGTAGCAGGAAATGATCATATTGATGCATTTTCTTCTAAGGTACGTGACTTAATTACAGTCTTAATTTTCTAAATATATATTAAAATAAATGTTTTTAAAAGTACTAATGCATTGTAATAATTTCAGATAAACCATTTAGAAAAACACAATAACAACATATACAGTGAAATCGTTATTGTAAAATATATGCTTCTAATTTCGATAACATTGACGATTTTAATGGCAATATTCTTGGGTTACGTTTTACAAGTGGATATTAAAAATTTGATCGATCAGCAAAAATCCTGCCGGATTCCTCGTGATACTTAAGATATATTTAAATCACGTATTTGCAATACTAACAATTTTGATATATTATAGAAAAATATTTAAAAAATCTTTAAATTGAATCTACAATCATGTAAAGATAAAGAATATCTTATATTACACATATTTAACATGTTAAAGTTTTTATACGTTTTTTTCTGTTCTTCCAAAAAAAGATCTATAAATGTTTGTTTGTGATTTCTCTAAATTAATTTTATATCGTTAATTTTTTATACATTATATATATATGTAATTGTCATTTAGTAAGTTACCACGTGGTGTTTTGTAATACAAGGCATGAGGAAGTACAGTATATTGTAAACTATATTAAAACTGCTATTTTTATACATATTCTATGAAATATCCTCATTGTATTAAACTTGAATGTAGATTAGCATATGTATTACGCGCAAATTTTTGTATATATCTCTTTATCTTCAATGATTTTATTTTCTTAATACTGTTGTATTAGTCATGCTTTAATGTGGCTTGTACATGATTCCATAATTAAATTATTTTGAAAATACATAATATATAATTGTGTGGAAGAGTTCACTAATCACTCGTACCTGCAATGACTTCTATATATTTCATTTCTTTTTATAATTTCATTCAGTAATAGTAATTTCGATTAGTATATTGCAACAAATTAGTAGTCGAGTGCACGAAGCATGATCTTTTGACACGACGGTACATTAGAATTAGAAATACGAGTAGTTTCTAGCGAAAAAAAAAAATGGGCAGTTAATATCCATTTTTATAATGTAGATTGTAGATTAATTTTAATGTTGATTTAATTTACTTTTTATTTTTTTAATTCTTAAAATAAGAAAAAGATGAAAAGTTAAACCGATTAAAGCTAATCTACATTGGTAGAAATGGAAATAACTATTGTACATACATACATACATACACGAATTAATGGTAATCTGAGTTTCGCGCAATTTCCGTTTGTTAAATGGCTTTTAAGGTCTGTCCAGACAGACTCGCACGATGCGAAATATGCGAACGCATAGAAAAATCAACCAATCAATCCTGCACAACAAGAAGTGGACGCGATAGCCAATCGCCTCCTTTTACATATCTCCCTTCCCGAAAAAAGCGAAAAGTTGATTGGTTGCCATGTCAGCTCACGTGCGTAGAACGCGTGTAAATGCGTTTCGCATATATGAGAAATAATGTGAGATTCAAATTCGATGCGATAAAAGCTTATTTAAATTGACTATATAAAAAAAATTAACATATAAAAAATAAATTATATTAAACATAAAAAGTACTTTAACGATTGTGTGCCCGATACAAAGAGCGCAGTAACATAGCTATTCTTAGCGTTCGACGACAGATCGTTTTCTTTTTTCGCGCGTACATATTGTACGATAGAAATTCGCTTAAATGGGTTTGAAATCATTGTAGTTGGAGAATCTGGAGCATTCGGGCCTCAAAGGGTCAAGGGTCGTACCTTCCGGAATCTATCGGACACCTAGAAGGTGTCAGAAAGAACGATCAGACCATCAGGGTCGGCGTATAAACACGCGAGCATGACGCGTGACGTGCCTAGTGCGCAGCTGCCAACGCGCAGCACAGCGCAGCATTTGAACCATCGCAGTTCGATCGGCCATATTTGCTCTTATACAACGCCCTCACGCGACGATCGTGGGTTTACGTGTATATTTGGTGGCTTCATATCGACCCGTTGGCCTGAATAGCGTCGACAATCGTATTCTACGGCGACGTTCGGTGAGTTTCCACGATATTCGAGCAGGCGGACAGCCCCGGAACGTGCCGGGCGATCCTTCGGTTCCTGGTGGCACGCGGCGCAACGGCACGGCGGCATCGTCGCACGGTGTCCTCCATATTGATGACAGCGCCGACGGTGATAATTTTCTGAAATTTTTGTCGTTAATGCCCCCTGTGTCCTGAAATCGAAAGCACCCACGTTTGTCTTAAAAGCTCCCCGACAGAATGCGCGACCTCGTGGGGCCCCCGCCGTGTGTTTTACGAGAGTCCGTGAAATACGGTGTTCCCCCAGGTACCCGCCCGCGTCACCACGGCGTTGCTCACCCGTTCCTTTCTCGCCTCGCCTCGCCTCGCCTCGCTGGCGTTGTCCGTCATGGCGCGCTCGGTTTCCCTCGCTTGCCTATGGCGTCGTACATCGGCCACCTCCAGCGCCGCTGGCCGCGTCCGATGGCGGCGTGTCGCCGCGGCGCACGTTGCCCCCTTGATTATCGCGCGCGCCGAGGCACGCCGAGAAGCGAGCGCCCCGCCGTCGTCGCGGGCGACGCGACAACCGGGATGTTCGTCTTCGTTCGACGAGCGCTGGGCCTTCGGCGCACCACATATTTCTCTTCCCCGTCGCATTATCGATTCCTGTTGTTTAATTTGATCACGGCGATGCCCGCTGTCGAAATTGCTACCCGCTCGTCGTATCCTCGGGCGACGTTCCGAGAGGAACGACAGCCCGCATCCTGACCTACAAAGATGTTTTCGGTTTCAATGACGGTCAGGTTTATTTCTCAAGCTCGCTCGTGTTTTCCTTCCTCGCAATGTAGACTCACGGCTTTTTAAGCTGGCTTTCGATGACTAATAAAAGTAGTAAAGCTAAATTAGGAAATTGTTGCTTTGTTTTAAAAATCTTTTTACTAATTGCTACTCGTTTTGCCTTATAAACGGGAATAAGACGTGTGTGAAGAGAAATTTGTGAGAAAAATGTGAATTTACATTTGTATATAGTGCATATATTCAACACGGCTTTATGCTTATTTTTAGAATTGTTGATATAAGTGTTATTGATATTAGAGATTATATTTACAGTAGTAGTAACAACTCAACATATATATTTCTAAGTTATTTGGACTTCCAATATATATTAATGATATAATGTTTCAGACTGATGAACATAGCTACCATTGTTTGAGCTGTATGCTTCAATCATGAGTAACGTAGCTACTATAAAATTGGAAGAGGGACAAGAATCTGTCACTGAGATACAAACTTACTTGGAGACGTTTAATAAAGAGATTGAGGGTGGGCAAGGCGAACAGCTGCAACATGTGCAATGTTAGTATCTCATATAGCAGTTTTTCTACAATTTATATTACGTCGTTCAATATTCTATCTCAGGTCTGTTTTGAGATACATTGCCAGTATTGAGAACTTATAGTATACACAACGTGAATTAAAAATTTATATATATATATATATAGTGACCTCTTCTAATTTACCATCCCCCAAAATTTTTTATTTTAGAAGAAATGATGTAAACAGAAGATGGAATTTCAAGGTTCACGCATTTTGGTCACGTTTTTGTTCTAAATGGACAGATCAAAAAGATATCAAGATCATCTCTACTTTTTGATATAAAATTATATGATTTTTAAAAAATAGTATGATTGCTTTAATTATTCTGTATATAAAAGAATTAAGTTAGAGATACAAAAAACTAAAATTTACGAGATATTTAATATTTTATGTCAATATGTGCTAGAATAGAATATAAAATATTTCGTAAACTATTGGTTTTTTTATATTTCTATTTTAATATGTTTATATGCAGCATAATTAAAGGAATTACTATGTAAAAAAAATCATAATTCTATTTAAAAGGGTACAGGTGATCTTTATTTCTTCTTTGACATCACCACTAAGAAAAAAAACATGACCCTCGAAATCATTCAATTTTGTCTAAAACATTTTTTCTAAAATAAAAAATAAAAGTTTTTGGAGGTGGTAAATTAAAATGGTAGTAATTATATATATGTACACACACATATATATATATATATGTATAGGAATATGGCCTCTGTCCAACTCTTTGCATTCCAACTATGGCTGTATTCAGCAGAAAAAGCAGCTTTGCAACTGTTGCAAAATTCTTTAATATGATTGATCTTGCCCTTAATTCCTCATTGGATCTAAATGTATAAACCAATCATATTCAAGAATTTTACAACAGTTGCAAAGCTGCTTTCTCTGCTGAACACAGCCTATGCTTTCACCTCTCTATCATTTTGCTAAGCAAAACAGAGAGAGAGAGAGAGAGAAAACAAAAGGAGCTCTGCTTAGTGATTGGCTGCTACTATTCTTTTTTACTTTCTCTCTCACTCAACAAAACAATGGAGGGGTCAAATCGTTTAGCTCACGAGTGAAGTATTGGAAAGAAAATTTGTTTTATCTATATATCTATGTATTTGTTCTTTATATATATTTATTATAGTGCAACAAGTGGAAGGATTATCTGGTGGAGAAGAAGGTGGGACATACTTTGTCGATCAGTCTGGTCAATATTATTACCAGGCAAATAGTGACGAACCGCCTGTAATGACACAGGTACAAATACAAGAAGTAGAAGAGACCGATGTACAAAACGAAGGTGATGCAACTCAAGATGAACAATTTCAAGAGATTGAAGAACTTGAAAATGCTGAAGGTGATGAAGATGTAAGTACTGATAAAATTATAATTGTTGTCAGCGATTGTAATTTACAAAACACAAAAATGCAGCTATAAGTACATACAAATATAAATGATAGGGACAAGTCAACGGTGAAAACAATCAAGTTGTAATTAACTCTGGCGATGCATATCAAACTGTCACGATTGTACCATCCGATACAAATCCTGGAGAAGTTAGTTACGTTTTGATAGTTCAACAACCTGAAACCGAAGAGAAAGAAAGTAAACCTGTGGAAGATGATGCAACGACAGTGGCAGCAGCAGCAGCAGCAGCTGCTGCACCAGCTGAGGGAGAAGAAGCAGAAGGTGAACAAGATCTCACTGTATATGATTTTGAAGACAATGAAGACAATGAGGCTCCAGTTGAATCTGAGGCAGAAGATGACAAAACTAAAATTATTAAGTTCCTCCCAAAGAAATCTCAAACTGTAACTCAAGCTCATATGTGCAACTACTGCAACTATACTAGCCCAAAACGGTATTACTTTTAGCTTGCATAATTATCTTTCCGTAATGTTCTTTATGCTTATCAAGGTACGTTCGGAAATACTATTCAAATGATTCCGTGTATTATTTTATTTTTGTTTAACATTCGGATGTTTAATAACAAGGATATAAAATAATTTACAGAAGAGCTCTCAGATGTTTCCGAACGTAGACTTATATGATCTAATTTATTTTTTAATTTATTATCGCATATGTATCTAAAGAAACAGTATGCTAAATTAGAAAAGTAATAAACTATTTTTTTATATTTACATAAACAGATACCTTTTGTCACGGCATATGAAATCGCACTCAGAAGAAAGACCACATAAATGTAGTGTTTGTGAGCGAGGATTTAAAACACTAGCTTCACTTCAGAATCATGTTAACACTCATACTGGGACCAAACCTCATCATTGCAAATATTGCGAGAGTGCATTTACGACTTCTGGTATGTAATTTGATCCTGATTACTTTTTCTATTCATGTATCGTACATTGAATTATGTGAAAAAAATGTAAAAATATATAAGATTATTTGATAAATTTCAGAATTATTTTATTTTGCTTTAGTTATAATTAATTAATAATATTTTTTATTATACATTAAATATAATTATTTAAAACTTTACTGATATTGCTAAATTTTGCTTTTAAGTTATGAATTTTTGATTTATCAAATATAAATGTTTGCAAAAGTAGAAGTTGTATAATATATGTAATTCCTATTTTCATATGCTTGCAGGTGAACTTGTAAGACATGTTCGCTACAGACACACCCATGAAAAACCACATAAATGTCATGAGTGCGATTATGCATCTGTCGAATTATCAAAACTGAAGAGACATATTAGATGCCATACTGGTGAACGACCCTATCAGGTATATATTATTTTTTCTTAATATAATTTATCATACATGTGAAAAATATATATATAAAAACTTTATAAACGCACTATAGACTGCGTTCCATTTGTTGCTCCTAATGCTTGTATCATTCTTGTTTAACATTTGATAAACAATAAGGCTGAAATGATTCTAAGAGTTTTGCGAGTCCTAAGTGGAACATAGTTTATATGTACATATGTATGTATGAAGAATAAGTTGAATGAACACAGAAAAACTGAAAGTCTATTAGGTTTATTCTTCTTTCTAGAATTATAGTTCTTTTACATAATATGTGTATAATTTATGTATTTCTTTATAGTGTTTTTGACTCTGTGTGAGTTCTTATTTAAAATATTATATATATAATTTTTATGATATTTTTATGATATTTGACGTAAAAAATATGTTTTATTCTTAAGAATGTTGTAGTAATATAACATTTAATAATTTTTTTAGTGTCCACATTGTACATATGCAAGTCCGGATACATTTAAACTAAAACGTCATCTTCGCATTCACACTGGAGAAAAACCATATGAATGTGATTTTTGTCAAGCAAGATTTACTCAATCTAACAGTTTGAAAGCGCATAAATTAATACATAATGGTAAGTTTTATATAGAAAAACACATATTGCTTCCAGGAAGTCGAAGCTTCATGATCAATTGAGTAAAATAATAATGACTCTAATAGGCTCTATAAGGAAATTTAAAATAATGTTATTTATAATTTAATATGGTATAATTCGCACATGTTAAACATAAAAATTTATCTTGCATGGAATGCTAAAAATCTGGGTTCGATCCCCAGCTGAGGTAATATTTTTCGCAATTTACAGATTTTAAGATTAAATTTAGGGGAATAATGTTTTAGATTGATTGTGTTGGAAGTTCGATAGTAACAAATATTCTGAGATAATATAATAAATTCATTTAAAGAATACATATACATGTATTAGTTTAATATCTTTAACTTTGATTCTCTTAAATTCTCTCTCGACCGAAAGTTTGCGCTTTTTGTATTTAGGTGACATAAAGATTAATTTTACTTTAAAAACTGTAATAAAAATTAAATGTATGGCATTCAAACATTGTATTCAGAAATTATGGCATTCGCGCATTGTATTAGTATTACTTTTAAAACTTGGTAGAAAAAACTATACAAATATAATATATATTTTTTATTGTATGTAAGATAATACGGATTCAACCTCCATTTGACGTAGTTCCATTACACATGCAAAAAGAGGAACTTTTTAAAAAATTGACACGTGTTCGGTTTTTATGTAACTGCGTTCAATGTTTGAAACACATGTAATTTCTCTACGTTTAGTCTGTATTTACTGAGGATGATCCAAATTACGGTGTCAAAACGTGTCAAAACTAAGTTATTGTTAATATTTTGTTGTAATAAATAATTTGTTATACACTCGGATATCCAGTTGACTCTTATTGGCTTCTTTTATTTACACAGAGTGAGGCAAAAGTACCAGAATCCCTGAATACCTCGGAAAATATAAGTTTTACAGAAAAGTATTTCAGACAAAAGTTGATCTTTTTATTGATCTTATCAGTTTGGAGTGGCGTCGCCAAGATCAAGGTTAAATCGATTTTTTAAAAATGGAAAACCCCAATTTTCATTACATAATCTTGTCTTATCTCGAGAAC